TCAATGGTCACAACAAGGTCAGGGTCGTCCATACAGCTGCTGCGATACTGCTTTACAGCTGACAGCTGATTTTGATTGATTTAAGCCAAATTCGATTAGCAAACATGTCAAATGTAATCAGCCTCTAGCTTCATAACGCTAACTAGCCCAGTTGGTCATATAAGTGTTCCAAGATCTTGCTGCCAGTCTCTTGTCAACGAGTGATGGATTTGAGAGAAACTTGTTGACATACTTGTGTGTTGGTACGAGTCTTGTTCCATCAATCACTGACAGATTACTTGATGTAGAGGTTTCTTTATGTTTCTAATGTCCAGTGTTGCAATAAATATGATTTATTCATGGGAGGAGTAATTTTTAGATTTCAAGGTCAGACACTTCACAGGGGTGGAAATAACTTTAAAATTGTTAGTGTAATCCGGTACAGTTGCACATGTAAAATCACTTGCCCTGATAATTTTTCCACTATACCGGCCACTTTTCTTGTTGGATTTTTAAATAAACAACATAATTAACAATAATAACATTGGAAAGTCAACTGGACACCAGTATAGCGTGATATACAAATTTGCTTGCCCGACAGAAAAAAACACTGGACTGGGGCGTCGGGCAATGGGTTATTTCCACCCCTGCTTCAGTTTTAAACTCTTTGAAAACAGTATCTCCCTATACAGTACGGTGTACATGCATGTCATACATGGTACAGTCCTTTGTACATTGTTATTTCAAAATAGGGCTGGCTATTGAGGTTGTCATAGCAGGGATTTACAGGACGTGAATTCCTGCGTCCTATACTCATAAAAATTGACAATGGACACAACAAAATTTATTAGCGCATCCACAGGGACTCAGAAAAAGACCAAATACTTTTTGTAAAAATTCCAATCACGTGACTATAAGTTATCACTGAGTTTGCTTCTAGCTGGGTTATGGTATTATTTGCAGTTTAATTACTGTAACAAGGTGATGATCATGATACACAATACAATAACAGTATTAATAATAATATTGAAGTGTCTGGGACCCCCATTTTGTTGTCCAGGACCCCTGAAAATTTAGATTGTGAGCAGAGCTACAGATAACCTTTTGAGTCATTGAGTTATGTACTCGCTTGTGTTCATCTCAGTTGGGTATCCTAATTTTCCTTTGAATAACCAAATACATTGTACCCACCTTACTCAAACTCAATTGGGTATTTTGCCATTTTCCATTAATTGTAAAAATATATTTAAATATAAATGTTGGTTTACGTGTTTGTTATATATATAGTTGATCTGTAATAAGAGAAACGATACGAAAGACTGCAAGTTTCCAAGTGCATGTGCTAAAATAGAACCTCTCAATATACCTCAGTTATTATTTTTATCTATCGGTACGCAAGCTAAGATTTGACATTTGTGTGTGTACACATGTAAGATCAAATTCATTGAGTATTTACAAAAATTCAAGCATACTTGTACGCAATAGACTTAATAGGAATTGAGTATTCACATAAATATTTGCGTAATTTGCGCAGATACGCAGCTTATCTGTACCTCTAGTGTAACCCTCAAATACAGGACTCCATGTAAATCCCTGTCATCGTTAAATTAAATGAATCAATTTTCAATAAATATCGGAGATATAACTTTGAGCAAATGTGACAGAAATCAACATGTTTCACATCAGTGGTGAGTGGTGACATGTTAAGGCATGGATTAGCAGCAAAACGCATCCTTAACATATTTAAGGAGCAGCCAATGAATAAAGACCTAATAGTGTGTATTTTCTGAGTAAATTAAATAATGATTTCATCACAATAGTTCATTTACAATATTATTGATTACTCAATGTTCAAATTGATAATAATTAATAATGATTCCCATCGACACAATTTCTGATTATCAATATTTTTAGCCAGCCCTACTTAAAAAGTTAAGTCTGTTATTGACAGTCTACAACTGTAAGTTTACAAAGCCTTAAAAGAGAAGCAGCAACATTCCTGTCTAAAAAGGATGCTTGGATGTATGACATAAAAAAATTCAACATATTCCATATTAACTAAATTTGGTTTGTTGCAATATTCCAGCTATATGGCGGCGGTCTGTAAATAATTGAGTCTGGACCGGGCTATCCGGTGATCAACATCATGAGCATGGATCTACACAACTGGGATACAATGACATATGTCAACCAAGACACGGATCTTCTAGTAACTAAGGAAACGTACATGAAATATTAATGTCCCATATATATACCAGCCTCCTCCCTTATTCATGTTATACCATATTATTCTTGTAAATTGTCCTTTTAATTTTGTTGACAGTGTTCAAAACAAACATACATTATTGTCACATACTTTTAAAGTTATTTGAAAATTGTTATTGGTCATTTCACATCTAACTAAAGTGGCAGTGATTAGAAAGACCATTTCTTCGTGGGCTTTTGCCTCTACTATTTTGGCCATGCATTGGCCTTTGATAATTGTTACAGTTTGAGGAGAATGAGAAGAAAAACTTAATGATTTTGTATTTTGTATTGAAGGATACACAATAATGGTTGTGATTGTGATGTCATGGATATAGTTATTGTATAACATTGAGAACTACACATCTTTGATCCTGGAGTAAGAGGCGACAAACGGGATTGGTTGGTCAGACTCACTGATTTGGTTGACACGGTAACCGGACAAAATCCCCCCCAAAAGTGCATCGTAGGACAAAATCTCCCCGGACAAAATCCCCCCAAGGAAAAACAATCAAACAAGTTAAAGATATCCATTTCATTATTTGTTCATATTTCAACAAGGTCAAAGAGCACTTAACACACATTTTGAGCACATTCACATCATTCACTGCACATTTATTTTTATTTTTGACATATTTATATGAGCATATATTTATTCATACATTATGTGACATTTATTCATTTGTCATTTATGTTATTTGATCATAGCACATCATTTCATCAAACATCAGTTCATTTGTCATCAGTTTGCATACAGCATTTCATCAAAATGCCATTGCAAGAAATCTGCAAGAAATGAAGTGTTGATCAAAGATCAGGAGAACCAGCTAAAGATGAGTAGGGGGATTTAGTCCGTTTTTTGCCAGTTCTATGCCAGTTTACATAGCTCAAACAATCTTCTCCAACTCTTCTGCAATTGTTAATGAAGCTGTTCTTTCAAAACATGATAACAAGGATTAAAGAACCTTTATCTAAAGCTAAAGATGAGTAGGGGGGATTTTGTCAGTTTTTAATGTTAAGGATGGGGGGGATTATGTGGGGGGAGCAGAGGATTTTCTTATTGTGATATATTGCGATGTGAAAGCATATATTGCGATATGTATTACAATATATTGCAAGAATTTTTTAAACAGAAAACAACTTATAATCACGCTAATGCTTGATTTATAAAGTAAAAACAACAAAATCACTATGCTTGATTAAGCTTTAATAAAAACTTTAATCATGACAAAATATATAATATTTGGCACAAATGAAACAAGGAAATTTAACATCAACACAGTGGTTACTAGTTTGAACTAGTTTCTCCACTCTCTAAAAAAGCCCTGAGGTATTAGACAGCAACTTGACCTGGTCAGGACATATCAGAGATTACTGGTCATTAATGGGTAAATATTTAAAACATTCAGATCCAAAACATTGCTAAACACTTGAACAAAAATTAAGAACACTTCAAACCGAACTTCATTTGACTTCCATTGTGAAAAAAGGAAATATCCGAAGATTTCTAAGTGTTTCAAAGTTTTCGAATGCATGTCGAAATACCGGTTTCGATCAGCATATCGCAATACCTATCAATTTCATGTCTGAACCGGTGGTAAACCTGGTTACATTGCTCAGTCCTAGTTGACACATGTCACCATATCCCAATTGCGTCGATCAATGCTCATGCTGTTGATCACTGGATTGCCTCCACTGTCTTCACATGAAACAAATTGTCAGTGTGCAAATGAGGTACTAGATATTATTTGTGTACATCAGTATTAGATTAACTTGTGCCCATGTCTATGTACTGAAACAAGAGAACATAGGCAAGTGTGACTTTTTTAAGTGTTCTGATTAGGGCTGTGTATTGGCAAATAAATTGTATTGCAATATATTGCGATTCAGGTACTCCTATTGCGATGTGTATTGCGATATATTGGGAACTTATGTGTGAGTGACACTAATCGCACGTGTCGATCCTGTCGTCCATCTACGATTATAAGTCCATAAACGTGTGTAATTTTTCTAATAACAATTTATAGTATTACAGTATGCTATTTTGTCATTGAATACGAAGTAAAACAATTTTTGAGAATGAACGTCTGTGTAGATTTTAAGTTACACCGAAAAGATAATCACAAAAACGTCATATATGTTCTTTATCCAATATACCGGTTCTCCCAAATGTATTACAATACGTATTGTTTGAAAATATACCTGTATACCGGTAATTCTGTGCAGTCCTAGTTAGTGGTGTTCCGATTAATTTAAATAATCGAAGATTGGTCGCAGTGACCAAACGACCAAGCAATCGATCACATTTTCTCATAATCGAACATAAACCATTTTGGAACTACTGTTTTAGTCTTTGAAATACTTGACAATGGAACATATCGTTGAAGTTGTCAGGGCCTGAAAACGTGTTTAATTCTTAGAAAACTCACTTCACTAACTGAAAAACCATGACTGAATATTTCTTGAAGACTCCGGGAAGTTTATGTTCATGATATATTAGTCATCACTTTAAAGTAGGAAGTTGCATCATGTTATACATATCTGCTATAACAACCTGGATAGGAAAATCTGAAAGATGATGCTAACCAATTTTTTTCGATGATTGTTCGTTGGTAATAAAGCAATCATCAATTGTGAGATTTCAACCGATTCCCAACACTAGTCCTAGTTCTGATGACCACATTGACCAGTACTGTTTGCTAGAAAATGGTCAGCCAATCTGATGGCAGCTTGCATCATTGTGAAAAATTATCATGTGATGTTTCCATGTTTTCCAGGTGTTAAATATGGATGAGGACAAGAACTGGTACAAGGCAGAGTACCAAGGGAAAGAGGGCTACGTCCCTGCCAACTATATCAGCCTCAAACCTCACAGGTAGGTCATGTTGTCCCTCATACCTCACAGGTAGGCCATGTTGTCCCTCAAACCTCACAGGTAGGTCATGTTGTCCCTCATACCTCACAGGTAGGTCATGTTGTCCCTCATACCTCACAGGTAGGTCATGTTGTCCCTCAAACCTCACAGGTAGGTCATGTTGTCCCTCATACCTCACAGGTAGGTCATGTTGTCCCTCATACCTCACAGGTAGGTCATGTTGTCCCTCATACCTCACAGGTAGGTCATGTTGTCCCTCAAACCTCACAGGTAGGTCATGTTGTCCCTCAAACCCTCACAGGTAGGTCATGTTGTCCCTCAAACCTCACAGGTAGGTCATGTTGTCCCTCAAACCTCACAGGTAGGTCATGTTGTCCCTCATACCTCACAGGTAGGTCGTGTTGTCCCTCATACCTCACAGGTAGGTCATGTTGTCCCTCATACCTCACAGGTAGGTCATGTTGTCCCTCATACCTCACAGGTAGGTCATGTTGTCCCTCATACCTCACAGGTAGGTCATGTTGTCCCTCATACCTCACAGGTAGGTCATGTTGTCCCTCAAACCTCACAGGTAGGTCATGTTGTCCCTCAGACCTCACAGGTAGGTCATGTTGTCCCTCAGACCTCACAGGTAGGTCATGTTGTCCCTCAAACCTCACAGGTAGGTCATGTTGTCCCTCAAACCTCACAGGTAGGTCATGTTGTCCCTCAACCTCAAACCTCACAGGTTAGGCGCGGTCAGGTGTTGGTTCGATCCCCCCGTCCCGCGGTCATACAAAAAGACGTTAAAATATGGTACTTGTTGGTCCCTGCCTGGCGCTCGGCATTCATGGTTACAACAAGGACTGGTCGGCTCGGAGTCAGTATACTGTGTCTGAGTGGGGTATTCGTGCTTCACTGCCGCATGGCATCTCAGTGGGCTAGCACTCTAAAACCAGCTTAAGTCTGGGCTAGTACAAGCAGCCGCATATACACACGCATGCACGTCGTCATATGAGCGAAATATTCTCAAGCACGACGTTAAACCCAATTTCACCTCACCTCACCTCAAACCTAGTTTGAAGGTCATATCAATGACAGCTAACAGCAATGGTGACAACTATACTTTTGACTACTCATCCAGGTACTAGTCTAGTTTACGGTATTTCACTGGAACTCTTGTTGAACATGGGAAATAACTCTGGGAGCACCTTTTGAATACAGCACCACAACTTCTCGTGAGGACGATCTCTGCCGTAGGTCACGTGTCATTAAGACAAGCAACCAGTTTGTGAGAACCCGTCGGACGCGAACCCGTGACCTTCGGATTGTTAGCTCGACAGCTAACTGACTGAGCTACGTCCACACTGTTGCACAATCTGCAAATTTATCCAGTCATTCCTGTGACGTCACGGAAAGAGTCGAATGGGTGGCGGACAATTATGAAGGTTACGGGTAGAATTGGTGTCTCTCGATTTTAATCTACGGACAATTGCCGAATGGACCCGATGCCATTTGGCACACTCGTCCCATTCCGTTATCTACAAGATAACATGTGGCGAGGAATGAGCCGATATGCCTCAAACTTAAAAGGGTTGTTGACGTCAGGCGTCAGACATAGATCTCACAGTGCATGCATGAATGACGCGCTTTTATATAAATCGGTGATTTTGTGACAGAAAAGTTACGTGGGGAACACTGTAAGGATAATGGATCGCACTAAGGGAGATGACATGTGTAGTGATGGAGACATGAGCATGTGTGAACAATGTGGCTGTGAAAGTGGCTTGAGTGCAAATTAGCCACTTCAATCATTTCTGAACAAAGTGTTGACGTGTGAAAGTGGCTTGTGATACAGTGCAAATTTCAGGCCAATTTCCATTAGCCCTAAAATTTCTACATTAAACCATTTGCAAAAGGAAAAACAACAAATGGTATTACACCGACATGTAATTGCATTACCCTTCAGCCCGCTAACCCTAACCCCTTGAAAAATAATAAATGAGAATGCTAACCGCACAAAAACTTTCTATGTAATGGAAAAAAAAAATAAAATACTAATAAAAACTTTTGCAAATTACTGAATGAAAAATATATATGTATGTCAGTTCACATTGGTAAATCATTTAGACTTAATAGTTACATAGAAACTGAAATATAAAATATATTTACATAATTTAAATAATTATATTGACCAAAATTGCGAAATCATCGAATATATATAATACAGACCGATGTAATGCATTCTCGCTAAATTTTACAAAATACAATAATACACAAAACATAACACCTCAGCACCCCGTAATACAAATAAATATGAGTGTATTAGTGAAAAAAGAAAAATATTTCAACTGGTGCTTCCAAAAATTGTGCATCCGCCGGTATACAACTACTGGAAACTCTCAACATCGTTGGGCTTATGCAATGGCATAGCTTGTAGAGATAAAACACCTAGTGAACGGAGCTTATACACACTCGCAGAGCCAGACAACCGTGTTGCCATGGAGCGTCATAGGGCATTGTTCTGAGAATGTGCTTTCGAACAAAATCACATTACATTACATAAAAGGGTATTATGACGTATTTTTAAAGTTGGTGGTGCTGTATTCTAAAGGTACACCTAACTCTGTGGGTATTTGGGTTTTGGCTACTACTGACTGAGTTTGGTTTTACGCCGCTTTAGCAATATTCAGCAACATCGCGGTGAGGCGGGTCTTTTGGGGTAGCTTTATTGGTTAAAGTGTTCGCTCGTCCCAAGTTTGATCCCCCAAAATGCGTGAAACCTAGTTCTGGTGGCATACAATGATACCCACTCATTATAGATATACAAGTTCTTGATGAAAATGAATGCAAGGTTTTGGTGCCGATGCTAATACCAAAATCAAGCAGGTGATGAACAGAAATGTGATATCCATATATATACAACCTTCCTACTTCAGAGTGTTCACTGTGTTCATGGAGCGGTGGGGTAGCCTCGTGGTTAAACTGTTTGCTTGTCAAACCGAAGACCCGAATATGATTCCTCACATTGGTACAATGTGTGAAGCCCATTTCTGGTGTCCCCTGCTGTGATGTTGCTGGAATATTGCTAAGGCCAGACCAATTTTATTTCTTGTTTTACGGATCCGCCTGTCGCATTTTTTCAAGAATAAGAAAACAAATAAAAAATAATTTTCCCTGCTCAAAAAATAAAATCCTAATGTTTTTATTGGCCAAAAATGTAAACTTACAAAAAAGTTTTTAGATTTTTTTTTGCCCCATATACACTTCATAAATTGCCAAAAGTAAATACTTTGAGTATTTAGAACGAATATTACTTTGACTTGTGATTTTATTTTTTTTATTTTTTCCCCTCCTGCCCTTAGGTTTTCTGGGGACAAAAATCTGTAAAACAAGAAATAAAATTGGTCTGGCCTAAAAGTTGTGTAAAACTCACTCACTCACTCACCATGTGCACTTTTCAACATGGTCATCACTCGCTTGATGACGTTAGTATCTACAGTCTGTTTGACTAGAAAGTGTCCCCATATATTGCTAAATATATCAGTTTAGAAAGGTAGTTAATAAATATTACGAGGCAAGACGTTCATGAATAACTTATACCCAAACCCCTTTTCAGCTATTAGAAATTGTCATGCATCACAGAAAAAGTTGTTTAACCAACTATCAAAGTATCATCATTATAAACATGATTGTTGACAGTTGGGGTGGAGGGGCGCACTGCAGCAATGGGAATAGACAGATGCATCTGATGCATGGGCATTTCGTGATAACTGCTGTGCGCTGATGACGAAATGAAGTTCACTGTACAGGCAAAAAAGTTGATAATTAAAGTGTATGATTTCTTTTGCGCTAAGGCGGAAAAGGGGAAAGCCGTTTTATGCCATTGATAGGTATAAGAAAAGTGCTTCCAAGGCATTAGGAGTTTCTACACGGGCATTGAAACATATAATACATAAGAGAGACAGTGTTGTCGACACAACGCATGCAGGGGGCATGTCAAAAGCATCAAAGGTTAATATATTAGACAACTTCCAGAAGAACCAGGACAGACAGGCAATCACTAAACTGTAGTCAGAAAACAAATACATGTCATTGAAAGTATGATTGTTTGGCTTAAAAATTTCAACATCCTGTATCCGCTGAAAGCGACAAAGCCTTATGTACGAAATCATGAAAACCCACAAACAAGACCCCGTATACAAAGTAGACACTTACATTAAGAGTTAAGAAATATTGCGGCTACCACCATATCATTGTGACCTAAATCCAAATCGAGATGATATGGGGTATTCCAAAAGGTAAAGTTGTAAAATCAAATACCACAGTTAAATTACGTGACGTCGAGGCCTTGGTGACCGACTCGCTGGCTAAAATCACTGTTGACATGTGGCAACACTGTGTAACTAGGGTTGTCATTGAAATTGAAGCAGGTCACTGGTCTCGTGATGGTCTTCAACAGGCAACTGTCGCATCGCTTGTTATCTCCATCAGCTCTGACTACACATGATGCCACTGATGAAGAAGTCACAGATCATTCAGAATAGATTTTGAGACGCTCCCCTCCGCACCTGTCTATTCCCGTTGCTGCCGTGCTCCCCTCCGCCAACTGTCAACAATCATGTTTATAATGATGATAGTTTGTTAAACAACTTTTTCTGTGATGCATGACAATTTCTAATAGATGAAAAGGTGTTTGGGTATAAGTTATTCATGAACGTCTTGCCTCGTAATATTTATTAACTACCTTTCTAAACTGATATATTTAGCAATTCATGGGGACACTTTCTAGACAAACAGACTGTACATTGAAACCCTACATTCACTGTAATAATCAGGTTATATATTCATAGCATTGTCTCCCATGTTCAGGAAGGATTCATGCATGATGTTGGTACTGTCAGTGCCTTTGTTGACATTAGGGGTGGGTATAGCTGAGAATTTTCATATTGCGATATATTGTGATGTGAAAGAATTTTTTTTCAACAAGAAACTACTTATTATCAAGTTAATGCTTGATTTACAAAGCAAAAACAACAAAATCACTCTGCTTGATTAGGCTTTTAGTAAAAACTTTTAATCATGACAAAATAAAAATGCAAATAATGTATGGAACAAATGAAACAAGGAAAGGAATAAATTAAAAAACGGAAATATCCGAAGATTTCCAAGTCTTATGAACTTTTCCGAATGCATGTCAAAATACCAGTTTTCGATCAGCGTATCGCAATACATATCATTCTCATGCCTGAACTGTTAAATACCGGTAAAACCGGTTATATTGCTCAGCCCTAGTTGACATGAAACTGTTGAACATATAAACAGGATAAAACAGCTGCAGTTTTATGAAAATATTTCTGATGTCTCTTTTGTTTTCTATGTCTAGACTGTTTATTTCAGCTGGTACATAGGCAGTATTTCACGCTTGGATGCCGAAAGGAAATTATTGCCTACCTACCAACCAGATGGGGCTTTCCTTGTCCGCAACAGTGAAAGTGCTCCTGGAGAATTTTCAATTTCTGTCAAGTAAGTCATGAAAACCCAGAAACTTCGTTATAATTTCAGGGATAACCTGGTTGTTAAATTGATCACTTATCACATCGAGGACATATGTACAATGTGTGAACCTCTTTTCTTGTGTCCCCTGCTGTGATATTGCTGGAATATTGCCAAAGCTGCGTAAAACTAAATTCACACTCACTCACTCACTCACTCACTCACTCACTCACTCACTCACTCACTCACTCACTCACTCACTCACTCACTCACTCACTCACTCACTCACTCACTCACTCACTCACTCACTCACTCACTCACTCACTCACTCACTCACTCACTCACTCACTTTATCAATCACCCTTGAACCTTCAGTAACCCATGCATGTCGTAAGAGTCGACTAACGGGATCGGGTGGTCAGGCTCGCTGACTTGGTTGACACATGTCGTCGGTTCCAATTGCAGATCGATGCTCATGCTGTTGATCCCTGGATTGTCTGGTCCAGACTCGATTATTTACAGACCGCCGCCATATAACTGGAATATTGCGGCGTAAAGCTAAACTATCTCACTCACTCTCTTAAGGGAAGCAGGGAGCTCGCCATCCCAACTTGTGGCCCTTGGCAGGTTCGAGTCCAAGATGTTCTCTGATTGCATCTGGGTTTGTCTGCACCAATGATCATGGGGTTCCCAAAGTGGGAAACATCGGAGACCTTCATCACTTTGGACTTTCCTCCCCAATTAACTTGTCCCTCATGATACACCAGAAGTAATATTATTATTATTATTATTATTATTATTATCATACAATTTATATAGCGCACATATCCAGGCAACTAGTGCTTGCTCGAGGCACTGGTATTTTTTCCCTCAATCATTGGATGTCAATCTCAACGGCACATCGTGTTATCAATCTCAACTCCCTGGGGAGCATGCAACTCTTGCAGCCACTAGGTGCACCCAGTTATTGTGGCCTTCTTATCCTAATGAGGTACACATTCACAGTTTGTGTACTGTTTGACTCCAAGGTTTTTACACCCAGTCACAGGTGGGCTCGATCCCGATACCTCAACCTCGCTGGATCACTAGCCTGGCGCCTTAGCCAGCTTGCCCATGGACCACCGCGCCCGGGTGGCGTTAAACAACAATCAATTCTAATATTTAGAAACAGCATTAGAACTCACTCCTACGACCAGTCAAACATTGCTGTGTTTCCCTACTTTCAGATTTCAAGAAAACGTTCAGCATTTTAAGGTCCTGCGTGACGGAGCAGGGAAGTATTTTATGTGGGTAGTCAAATTCAACTCTCTTAATGAACTTATCAGCTACCATCGCACAGCGTCAGTCAGCCGAGGCCAGACTATCTATCTGAGGGACATGGTTGATGCCTTCAAGGAGGTGAGTCAATCATTTGGCTGCAAGTCTTACCAGAACATGGCATCAGTCAAATGGAATTCCCTCCCTGATGAACTTAAGCTGTCTCCAACCCTTGAAAACTTTAAGTGTCATCTCAAAACCTTTCTTTACAAAAAGTTCTATGGACTTCAATAATGCCTTATTGATTGTTATACTATGAGCATACCTGGTCTGGAGTTTGGCGCTTTATTATAAGCGCAAGCGCATTATTATTAGCAGTAGTAGTAGTCATTTCATTATCATATGAGACCCGTGAAGACTAGGGATCTACAACTTCTTGATGAAAGTAAATGCAAGGTTTTGGTGCAGATACTAACACCAAAATCAAGCAATATGTTAATATTATCCATATATGTAACCTTCCCACTTTAGCGTGTTCACCCGTGAAGATCCGGGTTAGAATTGGTCTTCAGTAACCCTTGATTGTCATAAGAGGCGATTAACGGGATCGGGTGGTCAGGCTCGCTGACTTGGTTGACACATGTTATCATATCCCAATTGTGTAGATCAGTGCTCATGCTGTTGATCACTGGATTGTCTGGTCCAGACTCGATTATTTACAGACCGCCGCCATATAGCTGGAATATTGCTGAGTGCAGAGTTAAACAATCAATCAATCCATATCATATGTGCACTCACTCTAGATCATGTTTTCTTATCCTGATTCATACTTGCTTTTATGTCATTCTGATTCATGTTGAATAGGTTGGTTGTAATTTAACAAAATATTATTAAACTGCCAATTTGAAAAATTTGTAGTGGATGTGATAATTACAATTTACATTATCATAATGGAATCCTAAAGTTTAGAATAAAGTTCGAATATTCAAAATGTACAACATTGAAACTTTTACTGGAGAGATGCGACAAACGACAAGTGTCATGTATAAATACCTGACATGATAACGTCAGTGCCTGTACATTGTGAGATCGATTTGTCTCGCTGTTTCTTTGATGAATTGATGAAGATGACATTTTTCACTGATAAACATGATGAAGGCCCACTTCCAGCTTCGAGCATTGTGATTCCAATGTTATCAAGTTATGACAATTAGAACCAAAACACATTCGTTGAAACAATGTACAACATGGAACGTTTGCAAGGGTTCATGAGTGCAAATGGCGGCACACGTCCTTTCTATTCAGTCGTACATGTACAGGAACGGTTGATCTACACAAAAGTCATTGTTTAAGATATTCCTCCGACGCATGATAATGCAAAGTTTATGTCTTGATAACATACAGGATGTAATCAACTCACATTTCATACTGACAACTCCGTAAATTCCGTTACATTCCAAGTGGCAGTTTCTGGCTCGGGAAAAAGAGAAGGCTGTGGCGAAGAAGAGTAGTCCCCCATTGATAGTGAACGTAACCTCAGCAATGTCACATTCCAGCACACGGGTTACACCTAATTACACACACTCAATAGTTTTGGCTCCGGTCGATGGGAGAACATTGAACGTAAACTGGTACACAAGTACAGATCCCCAATGTGCCGAGATATCCAAAACAACCACCAAACGATAACGATGACGTCACACGCTTAAATATTTTATGCTTTCAAGAATTTAAATCATCCACATTTACATGGTAACATCATCTCTTTTGAGGGTTTGATTAATTTTCTGTGATCTTATCTAGTTATCATTATCACTATTGCCTTGATGACGCGAAGAGGTGGCAGAAACTTTTTTGTGGAGGATCACCTTGGGGATGAGTAGTGATTAGGAAGCCAAGTGACGTCACTCATTCATAAACGTTGTGTTGTGTATTATTGTGCAGCTAAGATGAGAAAATATGAAATTTGAATCTTTTCGACCATAAAATGGTGCGATTTTATGGTGTGTAAGAAACAGATTACTGTACTCGTTTCTGTCAGATACCATTTATCTTACACTCGTTTAGTAATCTCTATCTATCAACACACATTATTTAATGTGTTAAGATTAACTTAGTGTCAGTTTCAAGTATTATAAATGACAGATTGCTTGCTTGTTATTGAGCCTAAATATAAAACAAATAAGAAATATCCAAGTTGTTGGGTGTCCTTAACAAAGGGAGGTAACTCACCATGGCAGTGTCTACTGTAACAGACAAAAGTTGATTATGAGTCGGTCCCATGCCAGTCCGTAATAGACAGATTCCACTGTAGAATAGAAAGTATTTTCTGCACAAGACAATCTACCAAGGGAGCTTTGTTTTGGAATACCAGATAAGAAATGTTAATCTCTTTACACCACTGTATTGGTTTCTCATTTCAGGTGTTTGTGAAGGCATTATTTGATTTCTCCCCACAAGAGGATGAGGAACTGATGCTACAAAGGGGCGATACGATCAAGCTGGTACAGAAGGTGGATAAAGACTGGTGGAAAGGGGAGAAAGATGGCAAGACAGGATTGTTCCCTGCATCATATGTACAGGAATAAGGGAAGCTCTCGCAAAGAGTTGACAAATCTGACATTGGGGCTCTGTGCGGTTTGTGACATCAGTTTGCAGGACATGGTGGTGTAACTAAATGACACTCTGTTTCAATGATGCTCATCGGTCAACGCTATGATACAACCTTGACACCACGTACTTGATCAGCGGCTGATGTTTGACTAATTACATCCATTCTGTATATGTCAGTGGCATTGTAGAAAGATCGTCATACTTTAAGATTGTCAATATTTGATTTTTACAACAAATAGAGAAAAAGAAGAAAAATATGTTTGAAGCTTGTGAAGTTGTGTTTTTTAGATTACGCTGCTTTTTCAGTTAAGCTGAGTTGTAATGTATCAACTGACTATATTGAGATATGCCTGACTGTCAGCTGGATGAAGTAATAGTGAGTAGGGTGTTGAGTAGGATGTGAGTGAGATATGTTTGAATGTTGGGGGGTTAACAATCTCTTCAAATCAATACATCTTAACAACAGTGTTTAACAAAATGGTTCCTTTTGAGATATGTTTAAATGTAAGGGGTGTAACAGTCTAATCAAATCCTTTCGTCTGAACAATAGTGTTCAGCAATACGGTTCCTTTTGAGATGTGTTTGAATGTAAGGGGTGTAAAAATCGGATCAAATCATTATGCCTGGACAATAGTGTCTAACAAAATGGTTCATCCTGAGATATGTCTGAATGCAAGGGTTGTCACAGTTTGGTTCATACTGATTAACATTGAGACATGCTTGAATGTGTAGAATTATGGTCTATATCTCGATAGGCAGGTAATGAAACAGTTCACATTAAGACTGAATGATACCACTGGTGTATGATGCTGCACACCAGCTGATGTTGACTGTGTTCACCACACTGTTATCAATACACATCACTTATAACTAATCACATTATCAATATGAATCACTGATAACATCATAAGGTTAGACTAAATAGCATTGAGATGTGATCACATTATTATCTTTTAAAAAGCAATATGCATCATATCATCATATTAGCATCTGAGATATGTTCACATGCTGGAATTCTTGTAAATGTATTTCAGTATGTACCATGCTGTGATCCTTGTATTTCAGCATGTACCATATTGTGATCCTTGTATTTCAGCATGTACCATATTGTGATCCTTGTATTTCAGCATGTACCATATTGTGATCCTTGTATTTCAGTATGTACCATATTGTGATCCTTGTATTTCAGTATGTACCATGCTGTGATCCTTGTATTTCAGTATGTACCATGCTGTGATCCTTGTATTTCAGTATGTACCATGTACCATACCATGCTGTGATCCTTGTATTTCAGTATGTACCATACTGTGATCCTTGTATTTCAGTATGTACCATGCTGTGATCCTTGTATTTCAGTATGTACCATGCTGTGATCCTTGTATTTCAGTATGTACCATGCTGTGATCCTTGTATTTCAGTATGTACCATATTGTGATGCTTGTATTTCAGTATGTACCACACTGTGATCCTTGTATTTCAGTAACCATACTGTGATCCTTGTATTTCAGTATGTACCATACTGTGATCCTTGTATTCCAGTATGTACCATGCTGTGATCCTTGTATTTCAGTATGTACCATGCTGTGATCCTTGTATTTCAGTATGTACCATGCTGTGATCCTTGTATTTCAGTATGTACCATACTGTGATCCTTGTATTTCAGTATGTACCATGCCGTGATCCTTGTATTTCAGTTTACACTATACTGCGAACAGTACCGCAGTTACATCTCTATTTAACACCAACCTGTAAGAGAAGAAGCAGTTATTATCATTATTATGATCATTGCTCTGTTTTGTGTGTATGACTGTAATAATTATGTCCTCGTGATCCAGGAATGTTGTTATTACCTATCATTTGGGGCTTCTACAGGTATTAGTTTATGTACATTGTGTCGACTTAGTCAGGTCTGATTCAAGAGTCGTGATATGGCTGAAATACTGCTGATGTGACAATAAATTTTAACTCACTCACTCTGTTTAACGAGGCAAACTTTTTCTTGTAATCTTCATGTCTAAGAAGGTTGCACAGCCTGACACACATCTGGTTGTTTCAGCATGGTTCTAATGGTGCAATGGTAAGCCTTGCATTTGATAATACTTGAGAAAGCGTGGGAACAATGCTGATTAATGACCAAGTGCTTTGGAAATTCTTTCCATTTCATAGACAGTAATTTCTATTCCTGAATACTGATTTATAATTCACATAAACATGGTAAACATCTCATACTGTTTTAAATTACATATTTGAAAATACAATGAATCAGGATTTAGGGCTTCCATGAAGTACTAATAACAGTCGTTGAAACTATTTAGTGATTAATGCAGTTTGTGTGTGAAATGTTATAAATGTACAAGATATCCGTTCTCGAAGTATAACTGGAGTTGAATGTATTTTTGATTTGCTGCTATATGTTTTGTGTTCTGTTTATCATGTATATTCTTACAATGCTAAAAGATCAGTCCTGTATATCTTCCGCTGGAGATGTTGATACTCAGAATCGTATACTAATCCTAACTATTAGTTTGAAGGTGTCGTCTATAGGCAATGATGGTGAATGAAAGATATAAAGATATGTCTACAATGATTCATTGAACTAACAGTGCTAACTGTACATCACATGTCATGATACTCGTTTCATCCAGTTCTTCACTTGATAATTTAACAGTTCTTTTTGCCCTGAAGGCTGATTGTAGATTCTTCTTTCATAGTGCTGAAAGGGGTGGTGGGGTAGCCTAGTGGTTAAAGCGTTTGCTTGTCATGCCGAAGGCCCAGGTTCGATTCCCCACCTGGGTACAATGTGTGAGCCCATTTTTGGTGTTCCCCGCCATGATATTGCTGGCATATTGCTAAGGGAGCATAAAACTAAACTCACTCACTCACACTGCTGAAGGTGAGTCGTAGTTATTACAGTTTTCAGTGTATGTCCCTGTGGTCTTAACGACTGGCATCAATTCAACAATAGCTATCCATTGACAGATCAGCTTGTTTATGTCTTAACTCAGGTCTTTAACTGTTAACAAGTGACTAATTCATCTAAGCTGTCGCATTTAGCTGTTCAGAGTTGTATCCCTTTAGCATGCTGGAAACCAATGATTCTGAGTTCAAATCACGGATGTGGTCTGATGGTTCCAGGTTTGTCAGCCAAGTTCCCATGATTGGGTTTCACCAAAGTAGTTAACGTTTAACAGATGCAATACTGGGCCTTTCCTCAACCTTTAGGCTGACAACTTGACCAAACTCACTCACTTAACATGCTTTACCTAACACAGGCTCTGTTGTACCTTATGTTGCATCTCAGCGGGGGGGTAGCCTAGTGGTTAAAGCGTTGGCTCGTAACGCCAAAGACCCTGGTTCGAATCCCCACATGGGTACAACATGTGAAGCCCATTTCTGGTGTCCCCTGCCGTGATGTTGCTGGAATATTGCTAAAAGCGGCGTAAAACCAAACTCAGCCAGTCAGTCAGTCTCAGCGATGGATCATCATCCGTGATAAATTGTATCTTTGTGTCTCATACCACGCTAACCTCAACTACTGTATTGTAGCAGGATAACCATGTTAACAGAAATCTTACAGTAGGAAGGCATATTGCAGCTGTACTGTGTCGAGACTTCATCGTGATGGTCAAGGTCATTGTTCATGATAAAGAAAGACTTTGTACTAATAAAGTTTATAAACAAGATGTATGTATAGCAAGTGAACATACAGGGGTGTTCAGGCGTCACATTGTTTGAAAAGTATTCTATCAGAGATTTGGAAATATTGTTAAATGATTGTTTCGGTTACCATGGTTACTGGTTAATCAGCATTAAAACATTTATAAATATTGTTGATGTAAATATTATGGATGGGTGTTGTCGCTGGCTCATGTAAATGTTGATCATTTTGATCCTGTATGATGAAGGATGGGAAACGTTGATGAATCCTCCTCATATATGTTTTGTTTGTTGTGTTACACTCAGCAGTATTCCAGCTGTATGAAGGCGGCCTGTAATTATTCAATTCTGGACTAAGCAATCAAGTAATAACTATGAAGTTACCAACTCAGGCTGCCTGATTTAATTGAATGCCTTTTCAAACCAGCATAGGCTGTTAGGGACCTATTTGGACCTAGAATTTCCATAGGGCACATTTACCATGAAGTGTGTGATATTTTCTAAACAGCTGTGAACTATCAGTTAAAACAGATTAATTTGTTTTCTTATTTAGTAAATTTTGGAAAAAATGAAACATTGATAAATAAGATAAATGAATCATTAATAAATAAGATATTATGGAATAATAATAATAATAATAATGAGAAGTCTTATAATGCGCTAATCTCCTCGCAACAAAGCATGCTCTAAGCGCTAACACCCTGATTATTATTTGCCTGTTATTAGCTGCCTGTCAGGAGCTAGAAGGTTATAGTCACATGACTTTATCCAACCCGGTACCCATTTTCTGCTGGGTGAACAGAGGCAATTTTTAACAAACTCACTTGCCTAAGGTAAGACCACATGTATGATATGTGAATATATGATATTAAAATGAAAGAAATGATAAAGAGAGCATTGCCAAAATAAAAAAACTGCCGATTAAACTTATTCGAAGCTGTATTTTAATTTAAAGAGTTGGAACACTCTGTGGAGATTTCTTTGGCATTTTTCATTCCACTGCTAGAAGATTACAGCTCTCAGCATGTACATAGAAGACTTAGATTCCTGTATATAATGGATCGAAATTACCTGGATGATGCTGGTGTCATTCTCAATTGTCTCGGTTCCACATGACTCTTTTTGTGATAGTTATTTTGACTGTTTAGCAAAATCACACATGCTCAGAAAAAAAATAGAAAAATAAGTATCTAGAAAGGGCAGGCAAATTGTGAATATGATGATATTGGTGAAGACAAGGATGATGATGATGATGATGATGATGATGATGATGATGATGATGACAGGGTATTATATCCTCAGCTGCATGGGAGTGTGTTATTTTGAACAAGATGTAGGATTTAGGGTCTCTTGCAATAGGCACCCACTGATTTTTTGTTTACAACGTTAAATATGCATTGTTTAACACTATTGCCGCTCCACTCTAATGGAGCATGAGAAAGTCATATTGGGCTGAATTGCAACTTCCTTATTCAGTTTTATTGCAACAACTTTCAGATAATTGTAGTTGCCGATTTAATGAAACAGGAGCTGATGAACCTGATAGTTGATTATCGAGTGATAAATATCATTGGTGGAAAACTGCTTTTGTTCGAAACTTGGCAAGCAGGCTTTTACTTTGAGCCATTACAGCATCATCCATGATGCAACCTAGAATTGTTTCTTTGTAAATAATTGCTTTATAGATATTTTGACTTTTTCATAAATTTCTCCTAAAACTTAATCATTTTATATCACATCATGTGTGTTAAGTTATTTCATGAATAAAATTCACTTTAAAATTGGTCGATTTAATTTCTTCTCATTTTTCAGATTTAACCACAGGGTTCTGAAAACAATAATTACTGCAGAAATCAATTTCAGAATTTTGTGAAAAAATGGCATTGCTGATGATATGTACAAAGGTTCACATCTTAATGTGCTGAGATTAAACCTTCACAGGTCAACATTCCTTGTTGAAATGTTACCATGGTTACCAGAGATGTTATCTCCTTGTTATGCATCTTTTGAGACATATATGTACAGA